GGGTTCCGTGCTAGATGAATCCGAAAGCCTTGGTACATTGTTCACCAAGTATGATGAGACGAGTGTATACTACATTCGGCACAGAGCACGGCAGGAAGCCAAAAAGGCCTTTGTTCATTTAGAGACTTCCCGCAAAGTGGCCAAAGCGTTACAGCGTAATGCAGCCCCTCTAGACACTGATTATAAGGTTGGTGATTTAGTTATCTACCGTCGGGACAACGTCCCTGGCAGCCCAGGTGTCGTGTGGTCCACGGTTAGCCGCGTCATAGGACGTGAGGCAGAGAATGCGTACTGGGTATTACACGAGAATATCCCTGTACTTGTGAACGCTAGGAAGATGCGCCCAGCTGATGAAATCGAAGTTGCAGCGCACCGCGTCTTGGCAGGTGAACCAGTGCTTCCGGAAGCCATCGTACATGGGCCGGAACAAAGGTTCCAGGATGAGCGCGTAGCGGATCCGGTCACAGCACCAGCGACGCCACGTCCAGTGGCCGTAGCTGCCCCGCTTACACCGGCAGTCGCGCACGATGTGCCTATGCCAGCACCATCGACGCCAGCGATGATGCCCGGCACACCGATGCCAGCGCCATCTACTCCTGCAAGGTTTCGCGCCAAAGATAAGACGGGCGAAACCGCCCGGTCGCGATCGCCAGTAGGAGGCCGTGATGACGCACTAGTTGCGGAAGAGCTTGATCAAGTAGAGGTCATGGCAAAAGGCTTGATAGATGCTCAGGATTTTTCTCCAGATGGGTGTCTGGCCCTCCTTCGCGCTTATGACCGCGACCAACGCGAGGCGTACACGCGCCCGCTCCTAGATGATGGAGATCCCGGGAGCATAGCCCTCGCGGTGGGAGTATATCGGCACGGTGGTCTTGTTGGTGTCTCTGGACCAACGCGCGAGAGACCGTCGTTCGCCATGTACCTCAACCACTACCTCTTGCATCACAGTATGCAAGCCGGCCACCATCTTCCACAGTGGAGTAGCGTTCAGCTTACCAACAGAGGCGCAGAGGCCCACAGAGACCTAGCGAACACTCCTGGCTCGTATAACTACACTATAGGTGTGGGCGAGTATCGTGGAGGCGGCCTATGGGTGGAAGAAGCCACGGGTACAACTCCCGTGCGTGTTCAAAACACGACAATGTATGGCACCGTCCATGATACTAAGAACAAGGTTCTTAAGTTTCGCCCGAAGGACGTGCACATGGTCGCACCGTTTGTAGGAGAAAGATACAGTCTCTCCGCATACACGGTGAGTGATCTCGGCAAGTTGTCTAAAGATGACATACAGCTTTTGTCGGATCTAGGCTACCCCATATATAGGGATGCGCCCAACACCTTTGGCAGGAAAGGCGATGGGATATACACCATGGGTCACTCTGATCTTCCCATCGAGACGTTCCTAGAGCGCATCCACGAGTACGGGATTAAGGAAATCGTAGATTGCAGAAGCCACCCGTACAGCGTTCGGCATCCACAATACAATTGTGATGAGCTTTCTGCCACATGCTTTGCAAAAGGGGTTGTGTACAGTCACGCCCCCGAGTTAGGCAACAGGAATCGGGGCGGGATTGAAGCCAACCTGCAAACAGACCAAGGGCTCTGTACGATCGCTAGAATAGTTAGCGAGGCTCACGATGACTTTCACCGAATACTTCTGTTGTGTTCGGAGGCCAGTTGGCGGCGATGCCATCGGCGAAATATCGCCCAGCACATATGGCTCGAGCATTCGAAACTTGCGGAGCACATACGTGCTAACGGACTGCCAGAAGCCCATCCGTGTCACTACACTCCTGAGGAGGACGACGGACTGGCAGCAGCATCGCACACAGCTGCGATTGGCACGACAGTGCCAGCAGTTGAGCCCTCAGATAGTCGAGAGGCGGAATCCAAGGCCTTCGCTCTCACCCCTGATGGGGAAGACGCCTTCGGCTCTAACGTCGATGTTGGCTATATGGCCTCGCTCCTGGATTACCATAAGGCCCCTGTAGAGGTACAGCTGGGGCTGGATGCTGCCATGAAGACTGAATGGCAGAAGTACACTGAATTCAACGCAGTGGTCCCTTGCACAGACAAGGAGTTTAAGGAGCTTACAAAGGCTGGCCACGTGTGTATCCCCACCAAATGGGTTCTTACCGATAAGAATGAACACCTAAAGGGGACAGCAGCATACACTCCCAAGTGGAAAGCACGCTTGGTCGCATGTGGAAACTTCGAGCATATCTCGAATGAGGAGGATATCAGGGCAGACAGCCCCACGGCCGAGCCGGAAGGTATAGCCCTTCTGTGTTCATGGGCGGTTTCGTTGGCCCTGCGGCTCAAAGCAGCCGATATAACGAACGCATACTTCCAAGGGAAACCCCTTGAGCGCCTCCTCATTCTTCGGGTTCCCAAACACCCTAAGGGTGTGCCCGATGCAGAAATTCAGCGAGCCGGGTATATGATTGCCCGAGTACCCGTGTACGGCACCACCGACGCGGGTCGGAACCTTTACCTCCGTATAAAGGAGAGTTGCCGAGAATTTGGCTTAAATGCCTCGCAAATTCTGTCAGCCCTGTACTATATTACAGGAGAAGGTGGTCGTTTGTGCGCTTGCTTGTGCACCCACGTGGATGATTTCCTGTGGGCTGCTACCGCCGAAGGCGAGCCGGCTATCCAGAATCTGCTGGATAAGTTTAAGATCGGTCGCATAGAGACTGAGAAGTTCCGTTTCTGCGGACGCGAGTATGTGCAAAGCGCCGATGGGACCATCAGTATAAACTGTAGGGACAACACGCGTGCAATTCGCCCGATCGATATACATAAATCTGAAAAGGGCACGACTCCAGTCTCGAATGGCCAGCGCACAGCGCTGAGATCCATCATAGGATCGCTGGCTTGGGTGGCTCGCGCCACGAGACCTGATCTTGCCTATAGGGTGAATGCCCTGCAGCAGCGTGTTACGACAGCCACGGTGGATACGCTCCGTGAAGCAAACCGCGTAGTAGCACTGGCGTTAGGAGATGCGGATAGGCCGATCACGTACAGCGCTAAGTTACCCTGGAATACAGGGGACTTGGCGGTCGTCACGTTTTGCGACGCATCCTTTGCAGGAGAGGCGAACCATAAGTCGCAGAGAGGCCGTTTCCACTACCTCACTTCCGCACAGTCGGCGGTGGACAAAAACGCGCCAACGCATGAGATGCACCTCATTTCGTTTTCCTCGTCCACCATGAAACGGGTTTGTCGAGCCACACTGCAGTGTGAGGCTTACTCGTTGCAGCATGCCATAGAGCATGGGGACCGTATTCGAGCAGCAGTACTCGAAGTGCTCGGCAAACTGCCCCGGTCACAGAACTGGGAAGAAGTTGCCAAGAGATCGATGTTCCACCTGCAGTATACGGACTGCAGGTCCCTTTCGGATCACTTGACAGCGTCGATTCCAAAGTCCTGCGAGGATAAACGCCTTGCCATTGAGATGTCTGGACTTCGCCAAGGACTCTGGGAGGAGGACGAGCTAACGCACGTCCTGTACCATCCCTGTGGCGACGAGTTGAGATGGATACCGACGCATTTACAACTTGCGGATTGCCTCACTAAGAGTATGAAACCGCTTTTGATCAATCACAGCATTGATCGCAATCTCGTTCAGGTACTCGATGTGCCCGCGCAAGCCGCACAGAATACCGAGAGTACCGAAAGCACTCCGCTTCACGATTGAAGAACTCAGCCTAGAGCCTTGAGTCGCCGCACTCGGTTCGGTTGACTGTGCAAGCTCCCGGTATAATCCGGTGAAGTAGGTTTGGTCCAAAGCGATCAAAATTCGAGCATGATTCGGACGTCACACTACAGATAAGACGGGTGTGAAATTTCCCTGTCTTGAAGCGCCGTGTTGACATGTCCTCATGCGAGCGTAGTTTTTATGTTCAGTTCTGAATGCACCCTGTACGACAGACGTCTTGGGCTCAGACCAAAAAGTGTGCTCGTTTGTGTGGTTGGACACTCACTAATCCAGTTCCTGCTTCAAAACCTGAATAGAACCCCTATGGTTCTTAGTACTTGATAGCTAGGCCATAATTAGTGGCCAGTTTCTTTTTTTTTTTGGGGGGGGAGGGGTGGTGTAGGCTGACCGACAAGCATCATCCTACACGCTAAAACGATCGACTATAAACCCTGAGCGCACTAAACCGCAAGGTAGCTACAATATACTATAGGTATATCCAGTGGCGATATATAACTTTTTAATTTCCCTTGTTGCTCAATACTCAGCCCTAATTATGAACGTTTTTCGGGACTGTTGAAATCGGCACCTAGAGGCCCAGAGGTCGTGTAAACTGTGGACCTGTATATTTCCGTACACACAGCTACATGGCCTACATCCTTACATACATACGCACGCATTTACATACCCGTGCTTATACACATACGTATGTATGCATCCATGCAGAGATGGATGAATGGTTGGCTGGCTGGTTAGACGAACGGATGGATCAATGGACGGACGGACGGACGCACAGATGGATGGAGGGATGGATGCATGGATGGATGGATGGATGGATGTAGGTGTGTATAGCATATATATGTATGTATATATATATATGTATACATAGACATATACATATTATGTATATATAATATGTGTATACATTTATGTATGCGCAAATACAAGTATACATGTATGTCAGAGGACTTGGGATGCTATTCGAAGTACTGAAAATTTTCCTGCATAAACACGAGGGCCTGTCTGGTGGAGGTTGGGGTTTCCCCTCAGTTGCCGTAGGTAGAGACAGAAGAGCTGTATGGGCCCATGGCATGACTAGGCTCGCAATGTAGTGCAAGTTGAGTTTAGCTGCAGCTACAGCTATGGAAGGGCCAGGAGCCCTCAGCGCATCTTTGCTTTCTGCAAGCCCCGACTGCATCTACATCATAAGCCCTACACCTTAACTTCCAAACCCAAAACCCAAAACCCCAAACCCTCAAACCATAACCCTAAACCCAAACTACAAGCCTGGTTCACCCAGGCACAATCGCTTTCACTCCATTTTCTTCACATCGATCCGGCCGCTCGCTTCGCGAACACTGCGGGACTCGTCGTGAGTCCCCAGCATACGCAGGAGGCCTTCTGTTGCACAGAAAGCATTGAGGCATTTCAATAGCTGTCTAACTTCATTCTTCGTAAATAGATCGTAAAGTAAAGTAGAGTAAGCCCCAGAACGGGGCTTGAGAGGTGACGTTAGCGTGCGGTGTTTGCTGCTTGAACGGATTCAGACTCGGAAGGGCGCATTGCATGTGTCGTGTTGTACATGTGAGCTTTACGTCAGAGATGTTGGTTCAGAGCCCGGAGGCGGTTGGTAGTGTGCGAACAATTGAAATACCAGAGCATGTCATGGGGAGCTGTATCCATCCTGAAGCGGAATATGTCCCTGCATATCCACAAGTACATGTGGCCGAAGGTGTACAAGCAGTTTGGTGAGATGGACATCACCGTCATGCGCCACAGCGGGTGCATGATGCATTTGAATTGCCACTTTGCCAGAAGGTCGTTTGCCTGCTTGCCAGCCGGTGAGACGTGTACTTGCTAATTCTGCACGTGCCCCGCAGCGACAGTCTGACCAGGACGATTGCCCCGAGTGTATAGTATAGTTACTATAGGCCCCTACAGGTACACCTGCCTTTGGAAATTATTCACAAGCATACTGGAGCTGCAGTGGAAGCATGCTATCATGCAGATTTGCATTTATCATTGTCAAGCCAAGCCATGCAGCCCTTAGATTGCTACAGCAACTCGAATCCCAAGTGCTCAAGCCACTCCCTTAAACTGAATCCAATAATGGGCACTTTAGCGTTTGGGTGTGGAGTTGTGCACGTGATCTCGTCCGTACCAAAGATGCAAAATTCATAGTCATAAGTTCTTGGAGGGTGGAAAGGGCCCTCGTAAAGACACTGAAATCCTAACCGTCGACCTAGAACAACAAGTCTACCCAAAGCCCTTCATAACCCGAAGCCCCTTAACCTAGACCCGAAACCCCTGTGCCCAAACCCCAGACGCAAACGAGCCTTCAACAAACGTGTAGCCTTGGCCACAACATTTCCCAGAAGCCTTAAAGCTATAGTCTTTAGGCCTTTGGGCCCAAACGTCATTCTCTGCATCTTATTTCGTAATCCCTTTTCAAGCGTGTAGGGTAAAGCCATGGTCCTTGGGCCCAAAAGTCATTCCCGGCATGGGTAGGGAGCCTTAATATACTATATAATCATGACTTAGTACGGCCTATTTAAGGAAGTATAGTCCCCCATACCCCCCTATTTCCTGATCCCTCCTCAAGGCACCGTCACCCGCAAGTGGTTTTGCGATCGCTACAAGACCGGCCAACGCCTCGCCGCCTGGACTTCTTTGTTCACCTGTAGGCTCATACCCCACCTCTTTTTTTGTTTTCTAACCCTAAACCCTATCTAAACCGCAGACCCTAACCATAAAAGCTAGGGATCCTAAAACAGGGGTAGGGTATGAGCCTCCAGGCAGGTGTGAGGGAGTTGGGCCTCAGGGTCGAGGCTCTGAGGGTTTTGGGGTGGTTTAGGGTTTAGGGTTTAGTTAGTCGCCGAGGTGTGTGTTGTTAGGCTTTCCGTTTTGTTTGCGGGTGTGGCAATAGCACCCGACACTGGGCCACGAAATTAAAGCCTGAACCCAGGCCGAGAAGTTCTCAACCTCAGCATCAACACAGGGTTTTGTTTTAGGCTTTATAGGGTTTGTAGGTATCCCCTGAACCACCAAGCACAAAACCCTCAAAGCCCAAGTCAAGAATTTGAGTCAACCCGCGCTGCACCTGTTCTGGGCTTGGAGATTTTAGACAGAACGATCTCGGCGGATTCCAAGTTTACAGGCCTGGTGGCATCTATGGTTTCGAGGGTTTGACATGCAGTTTTGAAGGGGGAGGCTGTCAATATTCGGAAAGTAAGGCTAAAAAATTAGGAAAGGGTTTGAGGGCATCTTATACTATACTTGCAATAAGGAGACCCCAAATTCCCTATTTCCTGTAGTATGCAGATGAAATGCTTTAGGGAGTTGTTCTCGGGTAGAGGGCTTCAGACTGGGGAAGGGCTTGAAGCAAAAAACACATGGTTCTTAGGCATGTGAGCGGCTTTCGGAGCTGCTTAGAAAAGAGCTCCAACCACGAAGCAAGGGGAGAGCTTGTGAAGCTTGTACATCCTTAAAGTCCCTATAGGTACTATTAGGGGGGATACCTTTCCAAATCATAATAGCCATTTCTTATTCTGGATACCCTACATTCTAGCATGAAGGCACTTACGACTCGTGTGGGGGATGGCTCCTGGTCGATCACCATCAATCCGGTTTTCACCGCTGTGTGCAGCTGCCTGACATCGCGGACGTCCGCCGTCAACACTACGGGCACCAAACCTAAAAGCCGGAACCTCAAACAGTATATGCCTAAGTCAAACTAAAACCCTGAATTTCTGCAAGGAAACCAAACAAAAAACAGTGGACGCCTCAACCCTAAGCCCGAAAAGAGCCCTATAGACCCAAAGCCCTAAAACCCTAAGGCCCTAAAGCCCTAATTAACTTAGAGGCCCTAAAGCCCCAAGGCTTCGTCCTGCTTCTTTCTAAACCCTAAACCCCATCTTCCTCGCTTTTTTCCCGTCCTTCCTGGGTGCGGCTGAGGTCTTAGTAGTATAGGGCCCCAAATTAGGGAATCTACTTTATAGATCCTTCCGGGGGGTCTTTTTTTCCTGGTTCGCCTGGGTTTTGACCCCACTACCCATGAACGCTAAACCCTATACCCTTATAGAATCCCTATAGATCCCTTTAAAGGGACCCTTAAAGGTATCCCTTTATTCTTAACTACCCATGGAACCCCCAAGTGAGGTCAATGCGTTCGCTGCCGGGCTCCCAACCGCACCTCTGCTCCGTCCTGGGCGTTTCCGAAGATAGGGGGACCCCTGATATAGTACCCTACGGTATAAGCCAAAAAGTTGGAAACCCAATAGCCTCAATCCTTAAGAGCAATGTTTAGGGAATCCCAGCACTATTTGGCCTTAATCCGGTCTGCAACTTTATGGGGTTGACTGTAAGTAGTAGGATCCTTATTATAAGGACCCCCAAAAGGAAAACCCTGTCTCTGAATCGGTTCAGCTTTGAAGGTTTTTTTTCGGGGATTTCTGGGGTGGGTTTAGAGTCTAGAGTTTGCGTTTGAGGGTTTGGGTTAGGGATCTCATGACGGTTTGGCTTCACGGCTGATATTGATGGAATGTTTTGTGTTTGGTGGGACTATTTTCGAGATACTAGTTGCACTCAGACGGCATCGCATGAGGCCGAAATATTGAGAGAAGGGCTGCAGCACCTCATCGAGCGAGCCTATTGTCTCATCTTATCGTCACAGGACACTTTGTAAGGCGGAACCCTATCAACCTTAATCGGGGCTAACTACATGACCATAGCAAGATATGAAGAGGCGAGGAACCAAGACCCTGTGTTCATTGCCGTTCGCAGAGGTGCTGTGGAACGAGCAAGGCTTCCTAGACGTCATTGCTGGGAGCGACTATCCTGCCGTCGCCCGCAGCTGCTCGGACTATGCTGGGGAGTCGATTGGATCGAGTACAGGCTTCCAGGGTTTGGGTTTAGGGATGGGCCGGGGTGTATAGGGTCTAGCCTTTCGGCCCCATGCACTCAAAGGCATTAAAGTTCAAACTGCTGCAGCCTTGGTCCAAAAGCTACATTATGAGAGAAGTGTCTCTGCTGTTCTTTGCTACGCTCCTATAGGCTCATACCATACCTTTTTTAAGTGTTGGTCACCTGCTCTTCGTATCCTAATCATATATTATAATATAGAGCTAGGTACCCTACACAAGGAGTAGGTTACGCTCCTGTAGGTTCTTTGGTGTGCCAACTTACATCGAGTCTTGCGTTTCCTGCTCGTTTAGCAGCTTGAACGGCCGGTTGTTTCAATTCTGCAAATTCTGCGGCCCCATGTGCAGGTACAGTAGTTACTCCTCCATGTATAGAGCTTTTGCAAGTGTCCTCGCGCGACATCTGCGAAGCTCTTTAGCAGATGCTTGAAAAGCTTACAACCGCAGTATGCAGCATAAAAGGTCCCTATAATTATACACCTATATAACTTACAGACTTCTAGCCCCAAAACTTCCGCAAGCCTGGCATGAGGCATTGACGAAGCCGTGCACCTGACGAAAGCCATTGCTTTGGATGCTTGGCTCAGAGGGAAGCCAGGAACCTCAAACCTAACCCCTAAGCCTCAAGCCCTAAACCCTAGCCCCTAAACCCTTGGCTCAGGGGTAGATCAGGGTTTCGGGATTCGTTTGGGTTTAGGGCTTCAGTTTCAAGGATTTTAGACAGTACGCGGCCGCTCGATTCTGCTTTCGAAAAGGACAACCGGAGAACCCTGATATCATAAAAACCAGATGAATGATTGCCTCGTGGAGACCTGCACATGGTAGTTTGTCTTCCATCCCAAGTTCACGCAGCTTAGGTCATAAACCATCTACGAACACATTGTGAAACCGTAGCGCTTGTGTTACTTCGAACAGCCCTAAAACCCTAAACCCTAAACCCCTAAACCCTAAACCCTAAAACTTTAGGCCCGGCTTTGTTGTCTGGACCTGCCCAGCACCCGTCTGTCGGCATTTATTGAGAGCTCCGGTTTCCGGAGCAGTGGCTTCGCCTTAGGTGCTCTCGGCTGTATCCTAAACCCTGAAACCCTAAACTCTTAAACTCTAAACCCTAAGCCCTTCAACTCTAAACCCCTAAACCCTATAAACCTTGGGGAGAACCGGCCCAAGCTTTTCACTTCAAAGCTGGCTTGGAGAGAGCTCTGGTCGCCGAGGACAACAAACTTCGATGGCAACTACGCTTACAAGCAAGGTGGGAGTTTCCGAAAATAGGGGGCCCCAATATAGTACCCTAAATACTAGGATCCTTATTCTAAGTACCCCAATATAGTACCCTAAATAGTAGGATCCTTATTCTAAGGACCCCAAAATAAGGCACCCCACATTTTTCGGAAACTCCCAGATAAGTGCCCCTAAAACCCTAAAGTCGACCCTAAACCCTAAAGTCGAGCTCCTTAGGGTTCTTATGATGATACATCCTTTAGAAGGTCGGTTTTTGTGTGGTGAAAATGAACCCTAGACATCCCTCGACCTTATCCGATATCCGCATTCCGAGATCAAAACACGAAAGCAGAATCAAACCACATAAGCTCCACATGAACCGCCAAAAGCCTAATGTAAGAATATTTATGAGAACCCCCCCAGAACGGTGAAGTTTTTGCAGGTTAGTAAGGGAAACACTAAAAGGGGGGTACCCAGAGCCCGATACAAGAAAAACCCTGAACCCTCAACCCTTCTCTTGCAGGGAGCTTGCCCGGCCCTACACGCTGCCACGCCTCAGCCAGCGCTTAGCGCTGATCCTCGCAACCGGACTGCCAGCGGAGCAGAAAAGGTTCTGGGCTTTCAGGGTCTGGTTGCTGCGGGTTTCGGATACAGGGTTTAGGGTTTCAGGGTACAGAGAATTCAAATTGAGGATTGGGGAGAGCCCGCGACACCGCCGGCATCCCCACAAACCCGCACGAGGGGCTCAGCAAAGTGGGACAAGCATCAGAAGCCCTGCAGCTTACAGAAGTTTAAAGGAAGCCTTTCATAGAGGGCATCTAATCTGTCTTCGTAGGTAGATCGCATGATGGAAAAGGCACCCGTAAATGCACCCTAAAAAGAGCTCTAAAAGGAACCCTAAGGATTATACTATACTAGACTATAGTACCCTTCTCAATCCTAAAAGAAGCCTTTAAGGCATCCTGTTGTTAGGAACCCTCTACAGCAGTTACGGGGCAGGAATCGGGCAAAAACCAGCCAAGCGTTAGAAGCCATGGATCGAAAGCATGCATTCTCAACGGAACTTTTAGGGTTTATAGGGCCTAGGGGTTCAGGGTTTAGGGGGCTGAGGTGCTTAGGGTTCATGGTGTTGAAGGTATCATCAGATCATGGTGGCGGAGTATAGTTTTTTTGTTTCGGCGGGTGCAGACGGCTCAGAGTTTAGATTTAGGGGTATACCTTCCCATCACTCTTATAAGTTCAGGGAGGCTTGTCCCGTTGACTCGCTTGACAGTGGAGTGTTGGGCTACCGGGATCCATTTTCCATATGCCGCAATCTTTAGAGTTCGGGGGTTTAGGGTTTAGGGTGTAGGGATTTAGGGTTTAGGGGTTTAGGGTTTAGGGGTTTAGGGCTTAGGGTGGCCGGCAGGGCCCTAAGCCCCAAACGCTCATCCCGACACCCTAAAACCGCTTGCAAATCATGGCTGCGAGCCTGACTATAAGACAAGAGTATTACTATTTATATGAAAACCGTTTGCAAATCATGGCTTCGATTCTGACTATGAGACAGTAGTATTAATATTCATATTTTTGATGGTAATGATCAGAACAAGAAAAAGACAAAGCATGTTCTCAATTCGAGCAGGGTTGCGCAGTCCATTAAAGTAGGCTTCTATATTACCCAGCGTTTAACCCCGAAGCCACCAGATCATAGTTCGTCAAGCCTGGCGCCCAAATTTAAATCCCCCCCCCCCCCCCCGCCCCCGAACCTCTATCCCCTGAAACCTTAACCCCGGCACCCTACGTTCACTAAGCATGCACTAAACGCACAGTTGAGAAGTGTAAGTGTATAAGCTCCGTAAATCAAAAGGAGAGCCTGCAAACAATCAGACCCACCTCTGTTAAACCGTACATAGAGACGAGCGGAATAGAACCCCAAACCCTAAACCCTACAAGACTAAAGCCCTAAACCACAATCCGTCAACCCAAAACATAAGTAAGCTCCTAAACATAGATCCCTACACCCTAACCCGGAGACCCTAAACCCCTGATCCCTGAACCCAAAGCTTAACCTTAAGCCGCTAAAGCCTAAACCCTAAACCTATGTAACCCTAAAAACCTTTCAGCCATGTTCTCTAAGCAATAACCCCAAGACCCTAAACCCCTAAGTATAGAACCCCAATGCCTAAACCCCAAAACGTTTCAGCCATGATCGAGCTTCTGACTTTAGAACCCTAATCCCCAAACCCTAAACCCCCAACCCCTAAACAACCCCAAAACCTTTCAGCCATGATCGAGCTTCGCGAGTCGCCGGAGCATGGCCCGGCGCCAAGCCCTCAGCGCGGCAGCGCGCGCTCGGCGCCCCTTGGCCTTGGCTTTGGGATTCTTTGGGGTTTTGGGGTTTAGGGATTAGAGTTTCCGGGTTAGGGTTAAGGGATCACGGTTAGGGATTAGAGTTTGGGGTTTCGGGGTTTTGGGTGTAGGGATTATAGGGTTTAGAGTTTCAGGGTTCGGGGGCTGAATTGTTTCGGGGGTTTAGGGTTTAGGGTTTCGGTTTTTTTCTTGTGGAGCTCCAGGGTCTTAGGGTTTCGGGGTTAGGATTTAGGGATTAAGGTTTCGGGGTTAGGGTTTAGGGATTAGGGCTCTACATTTCGGAGTTGTTTTTGTTTTTATGTTTTGGGGTTTACGGACTGGGGTTGAGGGGGTGGGATCAGGGATAAGGGTTTGGGGTTTAGGGCTTTGGGGAATTTGGGGATCGATGGTTAGGGGTAAGGGAAGGGTGTAGGGATTAGGATTTAGTGTTTCGGTTGCAGGGAGAACCGGTCTTATTATAGGATCTAGGGATTAAGGATTTAGGGGTGGGAATTGAGGCGTGCAGCATGGGGGAGGGTTTAGGGATTCGGGTTGTGGGTTTTGACGATAGGACTTTGGGATTTGAGTTTGGGGAGGGCTGTGGTTTAGGTTCTTTAGGGTAGAGAGTTTTCTGGGTTTTTGTTGGTTGCCTTTGCTCTGGACTCCCAACGGTTTTGTGTAGGGTTTCATAGAGTCATAGAGATTATTTCGGGGAATTTGTAACCGTGTTGGGGGAACCGAGGGCTGTCGGGATGTTAAACGTGCTATTGGGACTTACTTGGCTTGTCGGGGTTCCTAGGGTGTAGCAGAGTTCAGACTAATCCCTTCCCCCTAACATTAAAACGCCCCCCCTAACCCTAGTATGACAATTGAATTTCGTGCCTTGAGTTTCTATATTGGGGAGGGTTTCGGGGCATCCGGGTATGAGTCGGATGGAGAGTAATTATGAGCCAGACACCAAACCGTCCATCACGCAGCCGTTCCGGCTTTAGAGCAGACAGTCCCGCCCTAAACCCTAAACCTTGAGCCTTAAACCCTAAGGCCCTAAACCTGCCAAGACCTAAAACCCTGACCCCTAAAGCCCTAAAGCTTAAGCCCTAAACCCTGAAGCCCTGATCCTCTCGGTGTAGTACTGCTGTAGTCTTTGGCTCTATTAAAACTAATGCAATCCTAGGACCCCAAATGTATTTAATTGACTTTCAATTGCGGGCCCGAAACCGCGAAATTCCAGGGGCCGGACTATTGTATCTACTTGGGCCTGGATTCGAAACTTGGGGTTTGTTCTTGAGGGTTTCGAGATTAGGGTTGGGGTATGTTGGGGGTACCAAGTATCGTGGAGCAGCGGATTGGAGCAGTTTAGGTTGGGCATATAGGGTCGAGTTTCTTAAACCCGAGGCCCGAAACCTCTAAGCCTCTAAGCCGTGTGCCCAAACACTAAGCCCCCAAAACCCCAACTCTGTAAGACCTCATGGAATCGTATCGTAACTCTTCGAACCCTTGTACTGATCCAAGAAGCGTTGCTGAGTCTTCCGACCCTTATCTTAATTTCCTTTGTTTTTCCGAAGTTAATTGAAACGCTGCGCGTCGTCCGCCTCGGCCCGGCTGTACGCGCATGTGGCGAGTGGCTACTATCTGCAGTAGGGTTAGAATTCCAGGTTTGAAACTCGCTTGGTACTGCAGCCTTAAAGGCGAGCCCCAACACATAAAGATGCTACATTGCAGTCCCGTGTCGTCGAAAACTCCACAAAACTCGCACCTGTCAGCGAGCGGAGGAGGGGCGGGAGGGAAGGGGGGAGGGGGGGGACCGGGGGAGGGGGGAGGGAGGGGAGGGAGGGGAGGGAGGGGGTGGGAAGCGCGGAAAATTGGATGGGACTGCCTACAGAAAGCCAAAATCCACTGGAGAAGCCGAAAATTCACCGCCGGACCTTGGGGCTCATCGACACGTTTCCATTTTTTAGGGGGGGGGGGGGGCGTGGGGTCACTGGGGGGGGGATTAAGAGGGGGGGAATAGAGGGAATCCGAATAGGAACCTCTGACCGCTTCGGCCGGGCTGAGGCGAATTTCTTCCATCCTACCATCAGCCTAAAAGCTTGCAGTAAGAACCATCAACTAAACCATAAACCCTGGACCCCAAACCCCCAAGCACCCTCAGGTCGTCTTTCCTCTCCGCCCGGTCCTCTCTGGCCTCGCAACCGGATGTGGAGGACCTTGTGGCGCTCCGGCAGCACTTGGTTTTGGTTTTTTCCCGAAAGCATCGCGAAGGGTTCTTCCGTGTGGAACGCCGCAGCTGAGTACATAGATGACAGACATAGAATCAACTTACTTGACTCCATACTTTACTCTACACTTGATACTTGACTCTACACTTGATACTTACTTACTTACTTGACCCCTATGACTGACTCTCTACACTTGACACTTGACTCTATGATACTTGACTCTACACTTGATACTTGACTCTATGTTATGCTTACGACTTACTTACTTACTTACTTACAATCTACTTACTAACTTACTTGACACTTGACACTGGACTCTATGCTATCTCTATACTTACTTATACTTACTTATACTTACTTATACTTACTTATACTTACTTATACTTACTTACTTGACTTGCTTAGTTACTTACTTACTTACCTACTTACTTACTTTTACTTACTTACTTACTTACTTACTTGACTCTATGCCTCTATGACTTACTCTCTACATCTCGGTATCTAATTCTCTCTTTTAAAGCCAGGGGGTGGCACCGTTGTCGTCCATCGGGAATGCAACCCTTCCCAGGGATTCGCCTCCTCGGGGGTTCAAACGCGAGGTAAAGTTACACATTTTAGGGTTCCCGCGCAACCCTTCCCAGGGATTCGCTGCCTCGGGCGTTCAAACGCTAGGTAAAGTTACACATTTTAGGCGCCCGGGTGAACCCTTCACAGGGATTGGCATGGGCGAGGGCCCAAACGCTAGGTAAAGTTACACATTTTTTAACTTATTAGGCGCCCGGGTGAACCCTTCACAGGGATTCGCTGCCTCGGGCGTTCAAACGCGAGGTAAAGTTACACATTTTAGGCGCCCGTGAACCCTTCACAGGGATTCGCTGCCTCGGGCGTTCAAACGCGAGGTAAAGTTACACATTTTAGGCGCGCGGGTGAACCCTTCACAGGGATTCGCCTCCTCGGGCGTTCAAACGCGAGGTAAAGTTACACATTTTGCGGTTCCCGCGCAACCCTTCACAGGGATTCGCCTCCTCGGGTGTTCAAACGCGAGGTAAAGTTACACATTTTGCGGGCGCCGCGCAACCCTTCACAGGGTTTGGGCGCAGCTCAACTGCATTTTGCAACCCTTCACAGGGATTGGCATTTTGCAACCCTTCACAGGGATTGGCGTGGTCGAGTGTTCGAACGCGAGGTAAAGTTGCATTTTTTGATGTGCATTGAGCTGAATTTTCCAACCCTTCACAGGGATTGGCGTGGTGGAGTGTTCGAACGCGAGGTAAAGTTGCAATTTTTGATGAGCATTGAGATGAATTTTGCAACCCCTCACAGGGATTGGCGTGGTCGAGTGTTCGAACGCGAGGTAAAGTTGCAATTTTTGATGAGCATTGAGATGAATTTTGCAACCCTTCACACAGATTGGCGTTGTCGAGTGTTCGAGCGCGAGGTGAAGTTACACATTTTGGTGCATGGTACATAGATGACTCCATGACTCTGTGACTCTATCTCACTATGACTCTATGACGCTATCTCACTGTAACTCTATGACTTTATGACTCATGACTCATGGACTCTATGACTCTTGACTGTATCTGCATCTCGAGGTCCAGGTCAGGCTATGAGCCCTCACGCTATGGGGATCTCGATTAAGCGTTCCCACACATAGAGCATAGAGTGAACTACATCGAGTCAAGTGCATGGTACATAGATGACTCCATGACTCTGTGACTCTATCTCACTATGACTCTATGACGCTATCTCACTGTAACTCTATGACTTTATGACTCATGACTCATGGACTCTATGACTCTTGACTCTGTGACTTTACGATCCTATACACTGGATCTATCACATAGCCCCACAATCTTCGCTGATGATGCTTTCGGGCCAATTGTCTTCTAGTAGGGTTTAGGGCAGCACATGGTTTGTGGTGGTTTACACAGCTATTATGATGATGACGACGATGATGGTATCCACCCATCCGTCAGTCATATCTACCCATCCATCCATCCATCCATTCATCCATCTGCTTGTCTCTGCCATTCTTACTGTCGCTACTCTCGCTGTTGTTGGTTGTTGTGGTTACAGGGTTCGGCTTGAAGGGCTACAGGCCTTGCAAGGTTCGTGGTCCAGGGCCGAAGGGTTTAGGGGGTGCCGGCTGATGGAGTGCGCCCAGTGTCCAACAGTGGCCCATGCTTATTATAAGAACATTTTGGTGTAGAGATTTAGAGAAGGCTGCCAACCAACAGTAGAGAAAACGACGGGTTGGATATGTGTTCTGTGTTTATGTTCATTCCTGACTGCTGCATCTTGGGGTACATTTACTCGTTCTCTCGAAGGGCTTCGGCTACATGAATTCTGTATCATATATTAGCTGCGAACGACAAGCGGGTCCCAAAACTCGTCACAGCGAGACAGACACCATATTTGCGCAATGAAACTAAGTAGAGGTATACATATATGTATGCTGACATATTTGTTTATATCTATCTCTTATTTCTACATATATATATATATATGTATAATTTCATATATGGTAGTGTCTACTATAGCTCCCGCCCGGGTCTAGGATTGCATTTCGGGTTTGCACTGCGGCATGGGGCACCTGGGCTTTGGCAGTCTTCTACAACAACATGCACATGCACATGGAATGGGCTTATGCTGCTGTACCTTTTGCTAGAATGCAATTCGAAACCCGCAAACATTTGTATGTCAGCATCCGTCCCCCCACCAAAAAAATACTTTCAACCCGTCACTAGTGAGGCCATGCAGCGCAGCATGCGCCGCGGTATCCGCCGAAGCCTCAGCACATGTTGGGCCGCAATCACACCTTCTGGCAATCCAAGTCCTGCATCTGTGGCATGCCGTTGAGTTTGCTTCCTGGTGTGCGGCTAGGTTGTTTGATGATGTGGACAGATGAGCTGTCAGGGCTCTGGAGTTGCCCGTGCCAAGCTGTAGTCACATCCAAACTCCTGAGTCAACGATTGGTCTGGGGTTTAGGGTTTTGAGCTTCATTCCCCGTCCCAGGTCCTAGGTCTTGTACGCTGCAGTCTCTGCTTTTGAACCCATCGTCCGCATTGCAAACGGGCAAAGCCTGAACCGTGCAGATACGATCCAGGGTTTGTATACCCAGAGGCCCCATAGTAGTTCTTTTTGGGGGGTACCTTATAGGATTCTATATATGAACCCCAAAAAGGAACTACTTTGGGGCCTTGGGGTAGGTTAGGGATCAGGGTGAGCCCTTGGCCAGCCTTACAGCACGTCTTTCGCCTGACCGACTTGCCGCAGTGTTTACTGTTCTAATTATTACGGCTTCTCTTGCCGAGGCCGGGAATACTGCCTGGGAGGCCGGCTTTATCAAAAGGTTTCCTTTGCCAGAACTCCTTCTCCAAAAGACAACCCCCAGTTCAATTCCAAGAGAAACAACAACAATAAGATAGGAATAAGGGTTCAGGCTCGCCTGAAGGTTCCAAGAAGAACAGCAGAACCAATCGATTCCGTAAGCCTTACAATCCGCATTGACTTCAAGCTGGAAACCCTCGTGTTGGGCCCCTGGGGGTCGCTGCACTTCGCTGTCTCAGTTTAGGCCCTGGGCGTCAGGTGGTCGTTTCAGGTTGTTTTGGGGCAAACACTCAGCCCTTGACTCGGCTCTTGACCTCACAAACCCTCAAGATAAGTTCTCAGATCCCTAAAGGCTCTAAACCTAAACACGTCGCCCCTGCAATCCATTCCTAAACCCTGTCCTGAATCGTTAGCCTCTACACCGCAAGACTCCAAAACCCAAAGGCCGGTAACACCCCCCGAGACCCCAAATGGGAGTTTCCGAAAATTAGGGGTACCTCATTTTGGGGTCCTTATAATAAGGATCCTACTATTTAGGGTACTAAAATTAGGATCCCCTATTTTCGGAAACTCCCAAATCCCCAAGCCGCAAATCCAAACCTTGGCCTGTGCTGTTGCTGGCAGGGCTCTGCCTTGTCGGGCCCCTCGTCGCCTTCGGGATCCTCTTGCGTCTCGGCAGCAGTAGCTTGGGTGATGGAGTGGTTCAAGGCTTGGAGTGTAGGCTTTAGGCTTTAGGGGTATTTTGAGGGATGGAGTGGTTCAGGGTTTCGAGTTTAGGCTTTAGAGGGTTGAAGGTTTTTGCGGCCAAATTAGACCCTAGTGTAGGGCTGTAATAGTTGCCAATACTCTACGGCTCTTGATTGCAACCTTGTTCTACGCTGATTTCACTAAACGTTGGCTGAACCGCACGAAATGCTTAAACCCTGATCATTGTTGATCCTAAAATATGAAGCCCTGTAAGCCCCAAACCCCACAACTCCTTTTAAGCTTGATGAACCTTGAACCATTTTGAACTTTTCCAACCCCATAAGCACTGTACGCTCTGAAGACATTACCCTTCAAGCTTGTGAGCCCTAAGCAGTATCCGACCTGTAAACGCAAAGAACTGTAAAAGCTGCAAGGCTTACAAACCCTCGTAACCTCAAAACCGTGTTTGGCAAGTTCGCCACATGTGTTGAGGCCTTGGGGCGACAGGAACCGGAATCCTAAACCCGAAACCTGCAACATCCGGAACTGAAAAAGACACGTTGCATCTAGACCCGGAAGACCTTCCTATAGTACCCCTATAGAGCCCTTTAAAGGAACCCTTATAATCCCCTTTAAATAGGAGCCCCTACTTACTAAGTCCCCTCTTCGGTTTGGGGCTTAGATTGTCTGGCCGTAAGGGCTTCGGGTTTCGGGCTTCGGGCTTCTGTTTTGAATTATCGGGCTGGGAGTTGCTGTCTATTCTTTCAGGGTGATAATGTTACTCAGCTTTCGATTTCATGACTAATTATATTATAATATTCTCGCAAGCCCTATTCTGGTTACTCAATCGCTTGCCGTGATAATAAAAATCCGACTTAACTGCTTGAAATTCAGAAGGTCTCAGTCGGAAGACCGAACCCGAACCTCATGTCAGGCAATTAAAAGCTTCAGGGTGTTCTTCACTGCTATTTTGGGTCCTTGTTAAGGACTGAATATATAAGTTACCAGAATAAAGAACCCATTTATACTTGCTATACATCCCTATTATAAGAATAACTTAAACTACATTCCTTCACAAGAACCCAGTATTGTGACAGCCAAGGATCCTTTGTGTCTACTTCGCGCGAAAGCGCCCTGGCTGGGAGTGAAAGTCCGCCAGCGCAGGAGTCTTTAAAATCTGACCCATCCAATCCAACAATTAATTAGGTTTTTGGGTTTAGGATAGCAGTTATGTAGGTTACCATTTTGGAGAGTATATGATAATTAGGTACTTGGACCCATAGGGTGATGTAAGCCTTTCAAAACCGAAACGGCAAACCCCAAACCCTGAACCCATAGTCTTGCTTCGGAGGTTGCCTCTTGGTTTGGGCTTGGAGCTGAGATATGTGTCAAAGATTAGATCAGGGTTTCGGGGGGATGTTGTTTGCCGCGTTTTCTTGTTTCGGCGTCGAAGCCGTGGGTTGGCTTTAGGTCTGTGTGTGACTACCAGGTTGTCCGTTTCATACAGGTGCAAAGCAACAAGAGAGCCGGACGATGTTTGGTAGCAATTCCCCCTTCTAGTCCCTGCCTAGCTACACCTCACTGTGCCCGTAGACCCTACTCTATTCTAACTCTAGGCATCAAGGCCCCTATACTTTCATTCTTAATTTCCTACAGGGGCCAGGTCATGCATTTGTTTAAACTTGACTCTAGCACAAAGTCAATATGTAAGAGGTTCTAAGAGCTTTTACGGGCGAAATGCATCATATCGCATTCATAATATACCCGCAAAGTCGATTCACATTGTTAGGCGCACTTTTTTTCACTACAGAAGCAGTTACATTACATGGAGCCGTATAACCGTGCACCTTACTCAGAGGCTGAACCCCTCAGACCAAAAAATGTACCCTAAACCTCCAGACTTGTAGAGGACTTTAAAAGGGTGGCCTCATGATTCGTGGTCTGACTGCTCGAATTTGTGTCTTCCTTCTCGGGTTTGGGATTTGGGGCTTACCCTTCAGGGTCTAGAGAGGTTTCGGTAACAGCAAGCCCAGGAATTGCGACGAGAACTTGGCAACGACCTTGAGCATGCTGGGTGCATTGCAGCTCTGCTGCAAAGGAAAACAGGGTAATATAGGGGCCTATATACTATTTTGAAGGGGTTTCTTGTTATACTGTTATACATATAGTATAATGGGCAAAACCCTATTCTTATGGATACGCCCCCTATATTGCAAAACCCTACTATAGATCCCTTATAGCCCCCTTTAAGGATCCCTTTAAAGGGAACCCCTATTCTAATTATGAAGGCCGCCATAGTACGGAAGGAGAGCACAGGGCTGGAGACCCCAATTTCTGCCAATCACCCTGAACGGGGAAATTGGACCCGGAAGCCGAATTTCACCCTCACGCCGAAGCCGAAAGTAAGGCTGTCAATATGCAAATTATTGAAACCCTAAACCCTAGACCCTAAAACCTAAACCCTAAACCCTAAACCCTAAGCCAAAAAAACCAAGAAGACTAGGCATCTTGCCATGGCAGCACTCTCCAGCATCGGCCTACTATGGCTTTCTTGCCAGGTGCGCGGCTCGGAGCTCCTACACCTGTCCTATGTTTGTGTGCATGTACGTATATGTATGTATATGTATATGTACATGGACATGGATATAGGTATGGATATTGAGACGTAGATGTAGATGCACATGCGTATATGTATAAGTATAAGTATATATAAGTATATATATATACACACATATGTGTATGTGTATGTGTATGTGTATGTGCATGTGCATGTGCATGTGCATGTGTATGTGTATGTGTATATGTATATATGTATGTATGTATGTATGTATGTATGACTGTATGTATGTGTATATGCAGGCCTCCACAGAGGCCACGATACTCCCTGTTGTCCGGGATGTCCCAGTTGTTCAGGCTCTGTTGCAAGGGGGAGCATGCCAGTTTGCGAAGGACCTGAAGGCGAGCAGCGACAAGCGAAAACAGTGGCTCGAGCATTGCTGCATCTGCCGCCAGTGGGTTGCCAACCCAAAGCACATCAAACAACACGTCCATAAATCTCACAAGACACTGTTTGAGAAGTGGAAGGCTCAGATCAGTGAAGTCTGCTCGGCTCTTGTCTCGACCCTCGCTGGGCAGCAGAGCTGTCCCTACTGTGCCACGCCGTTCAACAAGGCCACTTACCTTAAACGACACGTGATCAATTGTCCTGTGTTGTTTCAAGCTGCCCTCGTCTGCAGGGCGCATGGCGATGACCTCGGAGCAGGAAATCGCTTGTCTCTTCGGGGCACACCTTCCGTCAGTCAAAAGACAGGCGGAACTCCAGCTGCAGAACCCGCAGGAGGAAGCGCCAGTCAACACTCAGGGCGCCCAGAAGCCGAAGTGGCAGCGTCACAACGGAAAGGGCTACAGAGGCAAGAGCCACGGCAAGGGCAAGGGTTTTTCGCGCCAAGGCCAGAGCCAGCAAAAGGGGCAAGCTCAGAACAGCGAGACGGAAGCCCTACTGGCGGAGATGATCCAGCTCTTAGCGCAGCTGGCGCTTCGGCACGAAGACGCAGTGAGCCTCTTGCGTCTAGATCGTGCCTTCCTGATACTGATGAAGACGCAGGGAGACGAAAGCATGGTGGGTGCTCTCTACAACATCTCGCAGGAATGGAAGAAACATCGGGAGGCGGGCACAACGGAGCATCCGCTCAGAATTGCGCTGATAAAGTGCCTTATCTTGGAGCTTCGCAACAGAGCACAGACAGTCATAGACTCAAAGGAGAAGAGCCAGCTAGCGGCAAAGCTGGGGTGGCTAAGCCTTGCAGAGAACAAGGAGGCGTGCTGGTTGCCCCTGACCTGGGATGTGAAAACCCAGACAGACAAGCCAGTAGAGAGCATGGGGCCACTGCCGCACTCAGATGCGCTCAAAGCTCTAGATCAGATCATGGCCGGCGCAGATGGGATGATCATTCAGCGCTTCCACTCCACGCGCCCCCTAGCTCAGGACCCTCAGGGAAACATGATGGCCTTCCTGCTGGAAGTGTCAAACCGAGGCGCGGAGTCCCAAAGAGTATACGATGCCTTCCGCACGCTGTGCCATTCCGCCATATTC